GCATCTGAAGCAAGTCTTGTGATAAGGGACTCCATCAGCAGATGTCATGTCGTAGAAATGAACAGTCTTATCACAAGATCTGCATTTCTCTGTTGTCCCACTGAATGCCATATCCTTCTTGATAAGAAAACCTTAGGCGCAGATGGCAAAGAAAGAAGGAAAACAAAATAAAGAAGAAGAAGAAAGAGAATAGGGTTTGTGGAAGACAACGAGAGTGAGTTGTTTGATCTCGACCTCGAACCATTGATATAGGAATCCGATTCAACTAAGGGTCATTGCATGCATGTAATTTCGAACTTTCTTTACTTAGTAAATGCTAAAGGCAATCATAAACTAGGGTTGAAATTGAGTCGATGATATGAATCGAGGTTACGCAATGAAAGGTCCATCCCTAAATAACACACTAAGAATAGGGTTTCGTTTTCATGAAAGAACGGACGTGCAAGCTTATTGCTGACCCAGTTTCCATCAATCAAATATATATTATTTAGATTTAATTAAATTTGTAATATACAAATAAACATATCTTTAACTCAACAAAATAATAGATTTAAGATTTATGGTTGAAGTTTTAAGGTTTAAGATTTAGGATTTGAGGTTTGAGGGAGGGGTTTTAGGTTTGAGATTTTAGGTTTTGAAATTTGGGATCGGAGCAAAAGTAGATATTGTTTTACTGTAAGCTAAAAGATATTTATTTATAGTTTATACATTTTAATTAAATTTAAACTATTTATTTATTTTAATCTAATAGTTATAAATTAGTGTAAAACTTATTAGTTTTATATAGTGTAAGTGAATCTATTCCATATATGTATTCGAATTTCATCACATTCATTTTTATTAATTTTATACAAATATTTTTACTTTAATACTGAAAATTTAATTTGTAGCCCCCTAGACCCAGCATAGGAGTTACAACTGAATCAGGGTGGCTATGTTGATCACATATACGATTTACGAATGAACATTTTTATTAAGTCGTTTTGAAAAAATGTTTACCGAATAAAAAATAAAAAATATACTCATGCCACATTTTAAGAAGGTTGAAAAGTAAATATTAAACCGCATACAGTGTATAATTGAGACCATACTTCTGATAACCAAACTGGTCATATATCTAGATAATCTGAAAAATAAAGACAAAAACAGAGTGAGCTACAAGACTCAATGTGTCATCTAAAATTTAACCAGGTAATACCGCAGCGTAGAAAAATTCAAGTATAAAATAATAAACAAAATAATAATCGATCAATATTAGAATTTAGATATTTTACCAGCAGAATGTCTCAATAGAAATTCACAACCTTACCTTTCGTTCTGAATCAATAGAATATGCACATTACCTTACAAGGAGACATCAAAAACTGAATACCAAAATCAGAATGAGAATTTAGCCCTCAGTTGAGGATCCTAAACAGAGTCAGGACAGAGTTATAATCTCATGTAGATGTCAGAACGGGAAATTTATCCCATGCAGATGTCAGAACGGGGAATTTATCTCATACAGATGTCAGAACGGGGAATAAATCCCATGCAGAATCAGGACGGGGAATAAATCTCATGCAGAATCAAGACATGGATTATGCTCTCCATAGAGGATCTCATGCAGATATCATTAGGGATGGCAATGGGTCGGGTCAGGTTTTTGGGCCACCCGACCCGACCCGAGAAGAAAGGGTTTTTCACCCGTGACCCGACCCGACCCGACGAAATTAAGGTTTCACCCGACCCGACCCGACCCGAATATATGACTTAGAAACCCGACCCGACCCGACCCGAAATTAAAAAAAAAAATTATTCAATGAAAACAGTGACTTAATTGAAAAAAATTATATATGGAGGGACATTATTGTAATTATCCCTAAATATATAGGATAAAATTATATATATTTTTCGGGTCGGGTCGAGTCGGATTTTTTTCACCCTAAACCCGACCCGCCCCGCCCCGAACAGTACATTTAAAAAAAACCCGACCCGACCCGAACCCGAATTTTTTTAAAAAAAAATCCGACCCGATCGGGTCGGGTCGGAACCCGTCGGATTCGGGTTGAGTTGCCATCCCTAGATATCATAAATGCACCAACATGCAAATCAATGGTGATTTCACAGTATTAAGAAGTCATATATATCGCGTATATATATATAATCATATCACAAACATGTTTACAGATAGCAACATATAACATAACACATTAAATATATTGAACACGTCAAGGGGACACACCTATAAGAGAAAAATGCATATCAGTCAAGCCTTACGTTTCCCATGTTAATAGTATTAGGTCCTACGGAATAGGAACCTAAAACAGTACTAGTCTATGAATACATAATCCATAAATCTAAACGGTAAAAGACTATAAAATCACTAAATAATACTTAAGTTTATCTCGAGACAAACATATAGAATCGAACTGAGTTAAGCAAGAATGGTCATTGTCAACTGGTAAATGATGCTGAAAAGCGTGATCACCTTCGAAAATCAATATCAGAAAGTGAGTCCAAAATCCCACAGTTTACTTAATTAAATCATGACTTTAAGCAATAAACGATGTAAAATAGGGCTTTCGGGTTAGAATTTGGTCAAACGGATAACGAAAATGGACTCAATACATTGAAAACATTAAGGTAGGTGGTTTTGGAAAAAGTCAACAGTCAACAGTCAATAGATCAGTCAAACGGTTCTGTGACCGGTTCAGCCAGTCCAAACTATCGGACGAATCCCACAAGCGCAAGGTGGCGCGTGGGAGCACGTGCAGAACTTTATGGTGGCTTAAAAAATACCAAAATTTACAGAAAAATAATTTCAACTACTAGGAATCACTTATCAGGTTAGTTTGCGAAAAAGATCGATGAAGATAGGGTTTTTAGCGAAACTCGAACATTCGAAACTTCACTGATTGCAAACGGTGTTGGTGAATAGGGTCGACAAGATGAATGCAATGGTACCAGAGGTGTTGAACACCTTCTCTCAGTTAGCAACGAATCAAAGAAAAACCAAAAATATTTTGTTGAGAGAGAGAACCGACTAAGGTGCCCATTTTTTTTCCAAAATACTAAGGGGGCGTTTGGATAAGGTTATCTAAGATTACCGGGGGGAATGAAATGTGATTATCGGGGGGAATGGAATGTGATTCCCCCGTTTGGATTGCAAAGATTCCCAACCCCGGTAATAAGTTATTCCCAACAGTGATATTTTGGGGGCTTATTATCGGGAATGTGATTCCCCTTTCCCTTAGGTATTGTTATATTCCTGGCATTTTGGACTAAAATGCCCTTAAAAAGTTTCAAAAATATCTTTCTTCTGTCGTTGAATAAAAAAATTCTACGAAGGTTAAATTGTAAATTTATCCTTAAACTATTTTAGATTTACAAAAAAAAATCCATAATTAAAATTTTATATGAAGTTCAGGAGTTAAAATAAAATTTTACCCTTTCATTAAACCTATTTATCTTTTCAATTGTGTAAAAATATTATATAAATTTTATGAATTTAAATTTTTTTAAAGAAAATATATAAATTAATTATAGTCAAATTCAACTTGTTAAAAAATAAATATATAATAAAGACAATTTAATAAAATATACATTTCAATAATATTTTATTTTTTTAACCAAACACTGTAATCTTACATTCTTGCTAAACAAACCAAACACAACAATGCAACATTCCGAGTAATGTGTTATGCAATGTTACATTCCGGTAATCCTATTCCCGTAAGTAATCTTATATTCCGTGAACCAAACACACCCTAAATAGTAACGGTGAATGCGGGTTTTGGGTATTCAAACCCCAAAATTTATGGGTTAATTATAACCCAAAGCCCCATATTTTAAAAGAGTTCCCAAATAGACTAGTAAACTTATTAGCACTTCAATTTAACCCAATTTTTGGGTATTACATAATTTGTTGAAAATAATTTGATAAATATTTATTACTATAATCCTTCAAATAAATATTATTTTTATTAAAAATCAAATAAAATATGTGTCAAATCATATTATAATCAGAGATTTAAATAATGACGTGCTATCAAAATAACGATCTTTATATAATGGTAAATATACCTTTTAAAATTGTTATTATATAATCGGATACTCGTAATAACCGTAACAACATCGTTAGTATCAAAATCATGATACAACCAACGTAATCGAATACGTAAATGTAATCATAACTTAAATTTATGATCATGATTCAAAAATCATATATTTCTTTATCGTCGTTCATCGAACCACATATACAGGCGTCGTTCAAACATGCATTATTGGCATGCGGCAAAACTTTCAAGATAATGTTCTAGAAAAAATTAATTCACGAGATAAAACACTCCCAAGATTAATTGCTCAAATAAGGTGAAATCCACAGTGTTGGCCGTAGGTCGTCATGTCTTCCCGGCGAGCTACAAGAGATTGCATGTGTCATGCACATCCCAACACGTTGGGCATCCGAGGCCATCCGAACGAGCTATGCGAGGGCATCCGAGGGCAACCGAGCGAGCTATGCGAGGGAATCCGAGGGCAGCCGAGCGAGGCTAGGTCACCCAGAGGGCATGGCGACCTATGTGTTGGGACGTGCATGTGTCATGCAACACGTTCATTCTCTCTGTTTGAGCAAGGGTAGGTCGCCTGGAGTGCATGGCGACCTACGGCCAACACTGTAGATTTCACCCTATTTGAGCAATTAATCTTGGGAGTGCATTAGCTCGTGAATTAATTTCTTTCAGAACATTATCTCGAAAGTTTTGCCATTGGCATGCATAGTGCTCTTTGCTTATATATTTCAACGATGTTGAACTTATCTTTGTCGGAATTCATCACATTCATTGAACCGCATATACACACGTCTTTCAAATTTGCATTGTTGGCGTGCATGGTGCTTTTACATTTGCTTATATTTAAATAGCCACATCATTATTCCCACTAGTTTCTTCTTAGATAAGTGGGAAGAATTTAAACCTGCAGAAGCATAGCAAGCTAAACAAAGAAAAAAGTATAGCGATATGAAGCTAAAAGTGTACTCATATCGCCGATCTCAGCCAGTTCGAGCTGTCATCATCTTCTGCAAGTACTTTTTCTACCTTTTTAGATCTATGTTATCTGTGAGATTTTCTTCTCGTTTGAAATTTTCCTTCACTTTTCCTTTTTTGTTGTTGTTGTTGTTGGTAAATTAGGGTGAATGGTATAGAATTTGAGGAGGTCAGAGTAGATATCGCAAAGCGTGAACATTGTACTCCTGAATTTTCAGGTATTCGATTCTTCACCTTCTTAATTCACTATTCAAATTAATTCAGCAGACTAATGGCTCTGTGTACTTGTTTTGTCCAATCGTTTCGTTGCAGAAATTAATCCCCTGAATCAGCTGCCCGCCATTGTTGATGGAGAATTCAAGCTCTTTGAGAGGTAAATAAGGACCCCTTTTGCCCCCTTTCTTCAAAGATTCCATTACAATTCATTATTTATCTATTTATTTTTGTCGTTGTTGTTGCAGTCATGCCATTCTTATCTATCTTGCTTGTTCATATCCTGGAGTTGCAGACCATTGGTAAGAGCAGTCGCTTGTTCATATTTCTCATCGATGGCTAAACGAATTCGATGGTATGTTAATGGCTCAGTGTTCTATGATGTTAACTAACTCATACGCTAATCTCAAATCCCTAGTCCCTAGAATTTTGAACTGTTGGTCCCTCCTAACATAAAATTCTCAGTACCTTCCTGTTCCTGTGTGACCGAAACGTATGCAGTTGAATCCGATTGTAACGAGTTTTTGCTTCTTTCTTTCGAGGTATCCGTCTGATATTTTCAAGAGAAGCAAGATACACTCGGTGTTGGATTGGCATCACTCCAACTTACGCCGTGGTCCAGGTGCATAATAATTAAACCCTGAAATGCATCAAAATCTCTAGTTCTATTATGCTTGTGTTGTGCTTATGTATATCAGTGCTCCTTTTGAAATTGCTTGTGTTTTACAGTCACAATTGTTCAGAATTCTGTTGTGGCGCCTGTTTTTCACCGTACGTTTAATCCCGAAAGAGTTGCGGAAGGTGAGAAGATCCTGTCCGCAGCTCTATCGAAGATCGAGTCGTTTTGGCTTGAGGGTAACGGACCCTTTTTGCTCGGTGTAAACCAACCATCGATAGCCGATCTTAGCCTCGTTTGTGACATAATGCAACTCGAGCTTTTGGACGAGGCGGATCGGAACAGGTTGTTGGGTCTCTTGACTATTAAAAGTTACAAAATGATTCATCGACTATAGGGAGTTCATTTGTTGAATCTCTTGACTATTAAAGTTATGAAATAATCACTCGACTATTCATTATGTTCCAAACTCGTCATTTTTCGTTAAAAATATAACAGTCGTATGAGTTGGAAGTCGACATGTTGACTGCGATATGATAATCATTTGAGACTATGAGATCAGATTTTATCATATCTCAGTCAGCAAGTTAACGTGCATCTTATATTGTCGTCAAAATTTTAATGAAAAAGAATGGGTTTGCAACATAATTAATAGTCGAGTGATCATTTTGTAACTTTTAATAATCGATGGACTCAACAAAACAATTTCTTATAATTTTTAATAATTAATCAACTCAATAAATTATTGTCTTATAATCAGGAATCGTTTGTGTACTTTATCTAAAAATTAATTAAATTCGAAATACGATTCAATATGAAGATAAAATACCCGGACCCGAGTAGCTTGAGTAACAATGGTATTATGGTAATATATTAAATAAATCAAGCCTGATTCCATTAAAGTCGAAATCGATTTCCTTTATAAAGTTCACCGACATTTAAAAACCTCGCAAAAATACCCTCAAAAAGAAGAAAGCCTTGTTCTGAAATGGTATAGTTTATTAAGGTGATGAATTTTAACTATAAGACTTAAATGAAAGAAAATAGTTTATATAAAAAATATAATTTTAAAAAATCTAATTAAGAAATTATTATCATACCCAAAAATAAATAAATTGAGTAAACTATGCATTTAATATCTAAACTGTTAATTTTAGCTTATTTTAGTACTTAAACTTTCATTTTTTTCAAAATCATAAATAACGTTTAGTTTTTATTTCATTTTAGTTCCCTGTTATTAAAAATTAATGCGTTAGTACATAAACTTTCAGTTTTTTTAAAAAAACTTTTAACGTTAAATTTTGATCACATGTACTAAAATGAAATAAAAACTAAACTTCAGATATAATTGTAAAAAATTTGAAAGTATAAGTACTTAAAGAAATTAAAATTGTTGTTTATCCTTGTTATAACTAGCGTGTTGACTTGGTGAGCCAGACAGCATGCGTGCCTAAAGGAGTGTGAGTTTCGAGCTCAATGTGTACAAACCTTGTTCACTCCTTAGCCTCCCAAAAATAATACATACAAACCCTACAATTTCCCATTATTTTAATTTACCCAAAACGTATCACTTCTTTATTGATTTCAATAACAAAATACAATGCATTAATTTATATTATTTTTTGAATTATATATAGTTATATATAATCATTGTAAACTCGACGGACCAAAATTTAATATTTTTTCCTTTGACCCTTCTTGTCGTTTTAAAGGCTAGTACATTTACGAAATTAAATTATATTTAATTGTGTAAAATATACCCAATCTGACACAATAAATCTTTGTCTAGTCGTTGAGTTGTGCCGGAAACTAATTAGTTATGTCTTTTTGTAGCATTATTGGAAATTTTTAATCGTTTTTTAAATATTCTACCAAGAAAAAAAAAAAGACGAGATTAAATTGTTTTTTAATTTCTAATCGAATCAATAATTTCATGGGTAAAGTATACAAACTTTCCCCGACTATAGGATACTCTTTATTGAGTTATCTGACTATTAAAAACTCATAAAATAGTCTCTCGATTGTAAGGAATTGTTTTATTGAGTGACGACACTGAAAAGTTATAAAATGATCACTCGACTATTCATTATGTTATAAACTCATCCTTTTTTGTTAACAATTTATCGATCGTCTAAGTTAGACGTTAACATGTTGACTGAGATATGATACTCACTTGAGATTATGAATCATATTTTATCATATCTCAGTCATCATGTTAACGTTTAACTCAAACTGTTGTCATATTTTATAACTTTTAATAGTCACGGGACTCAACAAAGCAATCCCGATGACCATTTTGTAACTTTTAATAGTCAAAATACTAAATAAAGAAATATACTATAGTCGAGAGACTATTTGTATAAGTTATCCAATTTACTCTTCAAAAAAATAATGATATAAAAGAGGAGATTAACTTGTTTCTTATTTTTGGTAATAAAAATAGAAGGTCAACGCTAAGAGAAAAAAAAATATTTTAGATAGTATTTTACAGGAAATATTAAAAAATATTAATATTTTCGGTAACGTCTTTCTTTAGTTGTATATTAAGGCTACCGCACATGAGACATCATCCGATAAGGTAGTTATGTTGTACGACAACCCTAATATACGGCTAAGGAAAGGCCTTACCGGAAATGTTATTTTTTTAACATTTCCAATAGAAAAAAAAATAATATTTTAGGTAGCGCTTTATTGAAAAAATATTTAATATTTTCGGTAGAAAAAATAATACTTTAGGTAGTTTTTTACCGGAAATATTAAAAAAATATTAATATTTCCAGTAACGCATTTCCTTAGTCGTATATTAAGACTGTCGTGCCTGAGACATCACGATGAAGGTTATTTTAATTTTCCTTGATTCTTGCACACCTAACCCATATTAAGGATTTGATTGTTTTCATTTTAATTATCAAAATTTTTAAAAACATTTCAATCACTCATTATTATATGTTACAATTCGACTATTAACTCTTATAATGATTAATGACGATGTGATACATTAATCAATTATTATTTTTTAATTTAACTCTTAAACTTTATGAAAAAGTTAATTTAGCCCTAAACTTTTGTTTCATCTATTTTTTACATTGTTTAAAAGAGTTAAAAATTATATCAGCTCCAGAATTTGGCCAACGTGTTCCACTGCTCATTATTATCATCGATGGCCGTTGGATTTATAAATTTTTAGTTCAAATCTCTTATATCTCTGTATACATTGAACTCTACAGCCTTTCGACTTCCTCTTTTCGATATATCTAAATCCATCAACGAAACACATTGATTTCAACTACATTGTTTCACATCTTAATTGTTCAAGTGTCGTGTGATTAGGGCAATGAGAGTTGGCAACTCAATAATCAAATTGTAACAAATCAATAATGTAAGTGACTAAAACATACCTTTCTTAACTTAGGCGACTAAAATTGAATAAAATTGAAACAAAGGTGATCAAAATGATAGTTTACCCCTATCAAATTCAAGTATCAAAATGTATTAACTTACCAAATTCATGGGTCGAAAACTACATCACCCCAAAATCATTATGAACATTCAGCCCACCCGGTGATTGAAGCATTGAAGATCTGGAATCATTGGTTGAAAGAGATTTGATATGGATTGAAATTATTGTATCTTTGTTGTTGTAAATCACACTGCCTCACGCCATAATGAGTGTTCTTAATTTGTCTCTTCTTTATCATTCCCATGAAGTCATTCATGACGACAACTCGAAAAATGTTTAATGGACACATAATGACTCGATGAGCTTTTGTTTCTTCACGGAATCGAACTCTAAAATTCATTCCTTGGATCTGGGTTTTTCTTCTTCTTTAACTCCATGGAAATTAGTATACAGATTCGATAGCTCAGTGAGTCGTAAAAACCATATCCTTACAACTCGTTTTTACTGAGAAAAGAAAGCAATAAAATAAGTATATTCTGTTTTGTCCCCATCCGCGTTCATTTATTGTGTACGTACTTGCTTTCTTTTTCTTTGAATTTCCATTTTTTAATTGTTCATTAAGACCAAGTTTCCCATTTCATTGATAATGTAATTAGATCACATTAATGTCTACCTATTTTTGTCTTTTGATTGCTGTGTTTCAATCAAAGTGTGTTTTTACTCTACAGTGTGCACCTACAGTAGCTTAATTGCAACTTGGCCCACTTGATTATATGTTAATCACCATTGTTTTTGTATAATCTATCCCCATTTTCATCTGCTTTTTCAAGCTTCATAGCTACCCCCAGAATAAAAACACCAGCCTTTGGGTTTGAAGAACAAAAAGCTGTTGGTTTTGATGTCTGGGTTGTTTGTGATGAACAAAACAAGAGCATTGTAGTTAGATAAAAGAATCATGAGCCTCAACTGAAGTTCATGTTTTTAGATGATGAAGTGTTTGTAAAATTTCCACAACCAGAGGTATCTTTCAAATGGCTACTGGGTTCCGAAATCAAGGGAGCTTGAGGAAACAGCTTGCTCTTGCAGTGAGAAACATCCAATGGAGTTACGGATCATCTGGTCCATATCAGCTAGTCAGCCAGGGTACAACTTTTTGCCCCATCTTTAAACCCTAAAAGAATTTGAGGTAAATGTCTTTTTTAACATGAATCTCCATGTTCTTGCTATTAATGTGAGCACTTTCAGGGTCTTGGAGTGGGGAGATGGCTATTACAATGGAGATATAAGGACAAGGAAAACAGTTCAACCTTTGGAGCTCAAAGCTGACCAGTTAGGTTTGCAGAGAAGTGAGCAACTGAGAGAACTCTATGAGTCCCTTTCAGCTGGTGAAAGCAGCCCTCAAGCTAGAAGACCTTCAGCTGCATTATCTCCGGAAGATCTCACTGACACCGAGTGGTATTACTTAGTTTGTATGTCATTCGTGTTCGACATCGGCCAAGGGTAATCTTTCTTACATCTCTTCTTCATTTTGCTCAGAAATTCTAACCGAAAACATTCAATGTTTTATGATTGTTGATTCATCGTCTCAATTGTTGCTAGATTGCCTGGAAGAACATTGTCAAGTGGTCAGCCTATTTGGCTTTGCAATGCTCAGTATGCAGAGAGTAAGGTGTTTAGTCGTTCACTGGTTGCAAAGGTAAATTCATTTTCATATGCTTCGATTCTTGGCTAAATTATAAATATCAGTTACTAAGCTCGTAAATGACGGTTCGGTTTTTGTTTCCATGGCCTGGAAATATTGTCAACCGGCTCTCTCAGAGTGCGTCTATTCAGGTATTGATCCGGTCTCACCGTCTGTCTAATTTATTCTCATTTTCCGATATGAAAACGAACATAGGTTACAAGTGATCAGACAGTAGCATGCTTCTGAAATCCTTAACGTTTGTCTTGATTTTCAGACAGTAGTATGTTTTCCGTTTGCGGGAGGTGTAATTGAGCTTGGTGCGGTTGATCTGGTAAATTTTCGGCTATATTTTTAATTTTGTTTTATTGTCGTGGGAAGGTTTGCTTTGATGCAGTTTTATTACAAGTCATGCTGTTATGTTGATTGCATTCTGCAGGTTTCGGAAGACCT